CAGAAATCCGCGGTTTCGAGGAGGTTGGGATGGAGATGAAAGCGGGACGACATGGGACGATTGATGCAAAATGACAAAGCACGCTGGATGAACGAACAGCTTCAACAAGATGAGACAGGCGTCAGTTCAAACACACAAGAGAGGGAAAAGAGAAGCCAACGAAAAGCAGCAACAAGAGCTAGGCACGTTCGGCACGGTCGATCCATCCCATCACATCCGACGCTATAAAAGAGGGATGGATACCGTCTTGGTGTATTGGAAGGGTTTAGGATGATTTTCTCGGCTTCCGCAGACAAATCATTTGCGATTCGGAGGTATGTCAGTTGGTTAGGGGTCCCGGTAGGCCCGCTTATACCCTTCCTCACATCAACCAATCCTTCACTTGGACCAGAGAGAAAACACCAGTCATACGTTACAAGTGCCGAGGGCGAAAACGGAACAAAAAAAAGAAAAAAGAAGAAGAAGAAGAAGAAAAAATAGTTATTCCATCACGGAAGCAGTGGCCGGTACATTAGTTGTAGGTACATGCGATCCAAAGGAACGAAATTGGAGCGTTGGAAGGCCTCTCACGTTCCCGTCATCTTGCGCTTTGTTCATCCGGGGACCATTTCCAGCCAATGCCAACGTCATCGCCGTGTGCTTCCCTAGGTTTTGTTTCCAAAGATGCTCAGAAGAACCATGCCAGACACCATATATCATCATGATATTCCCGGCCCCCGCATCACGGCCCGGCTGCTAGACACTGAACCAGCATTGAAAAGAGGGCCGTGATGGATGGCTTGACAGTCATTATCTCCCAACCAATAGCTTTGACAGCGTTGGTTCGTTTTGGTAAGACTAATCCTGCATCGAGCCGGCCTTTGTCTTTATTGGGGCTTTCTACTCGTTCGGGGATGTCAACTCACCACTCCGGCCCCCTAATTATTAATTTTTCCTTAAGAAAAATTCTTCGACCACCCATCATCCCGCCAAGATAGCCCTACGATGGCCGCCACACAAGCTGGAGTAATAATAATCATTTAGCCAACACTTGGGCCTTGTCCCAACAAGATGTGATCAAATTGAGATCGAGACATTGACGAGAACCAGAACCAGAACCAGAACCAGAACCAGAACCAGAACAGCAAGGAAGATATTGGAGGATTGCAGACATTTGGATATCGAATCTAAACATCAAAGGCCCCGGTCGATGTTAACAAAAAAAGGGGGGCAGCGGATAACACAGCCCACGGATGCATTCACTGTCTCGCTGTCAGTTCATCAACGGCTTTTCCCGCTTACCCGCTGTGCACTCACTTATCCACACACCACACCATCACTTTATTCTGGAGTGTCTGGCTCTGTTGTTGTCTAAAGGGGATCTCTCAGAAAGGTAAATCAAGGGTGGTTGAAAAGGGCTGAGAGGGCTGAGCTTGCCTGACCGGGCATAGCGTGGACTACCTACGAACAAGTGGCACCCCCTAGCTCCTAGCTCCTAGCTCCTACATATGTAGCTCGCCCTGTCACTGTCACTGTCACTGTCACTGTCAGCCCCCCCTTCCCCTCCCCGCTTGCTGAATGATAAGTTCCCAAAGAGAAACCTATGTGTTAAACAGGGACTCAGAGCAGACAGACTAAGAAACTTCACTTTGGAAAGTCCTTCTCGAAGGTTCTATCCAATACTTATCACTGTACAGATATGACATGCCAATGGAGACAGAGTTACAAGGCTGATCACCTACTAATGCTTGCTCAAACCTCACGAATCCGTCTGCCCCATTTCCATTGAATACCCATCAATCACCATCATATAATTTAACCCAAGCAACCAACTTCTTCTGTTGCCAAGCAACACCTTCGTCCAACTCTCGACGATGGGACCATACATCGGCAGAAAGCATCCCGAAGACAGCAGCATCGAGATCAAGTTCAACAGCTGAGGCCAATGAACCTCGGTTGCAACGCAAGCTCTTTCTCGGCTTTCCCATTTTCTCAATTCACGGTTCAAGTTATATCCATTCATTACGTACCCGACTCGACAACGCCGATGCAACCTGCCTGTCTGCCTGTCCTGATTCTAAACTACAATATTACCAAACCCAGTATCACAGAGCCTGCCCGCAATAATAAAACCAGACTTATCCAGCCCGTCGTCATCGTCGTCATCATAACCATCCACCCGGTGTAATTAACAGTTTCCGTTCCGTTTTCCCTCATTGATAATCCCATCATGCTAGCCTTCCATTAACCCATTAGTACGGTGGTTCTGGTACACCACGCTCTCCCACCTGATTTCAACCACGTCCCGAGTCTTCGGACCCTTGCTCCCCACCGTTCCCCGTCCCCTGAATTAATTTGACAAATTCCTGGTATCTGAACACCTCCCCACGCTTGTTGGCGCCTCCCCCGCCTACTCCTCCCAGCCCAGTCGTCCTTTGGCTGTTCTGAGCAAACGCCCTGCGTCCCGTGAATCCGGCCATGACCTTGTCTACTTCGAGCGACGTTAGGGGCTTCTCGCCTGGTTCGGGCGCCGTGTTGAGTAGGGCGTCTCGCAGCTCAGCCACGTCAATCTGGCCGCTGTCGTCGTCATCGAAGGCCGAGAAGGCGGAAAGAAGTTCGCCGCTGGGGGAGAGGCTGGAGAGGGCGGTGGCGATGGAGTTGAAGAAGACGGCCATGGTCATTGACTGGGGGCCGTTGGGAGGGAAGAATTGGGAGACGTCGGAGGCGCTGTTGGGTAGACCTGAATGTCAGAGATGCCCGGGGTTAGTTGAGAGGATCAGTGAAGATAAAGAGTAGATAGACATAGGTACAGGTCTAGGAACCTACCCAGTTGGTTGAGCATGTCAATGACATCCTCCCTGACCACCATACCGTCGCTGTCGCGGTCCAGGATCTGGAAGCCCTCCCGCAAGGTGCGCACCTGCGAGGGCTGCAGCTGGGACATGGCATTGCCTCCGGTTCCCATGCTCATGGTAGAGGCAGAGGTAGTCGTTCGTGGTATCGAGGGTGAAGGCAAGGGAGAAATGCGATGCTGGGGAGGCCGCGGCGGCGGCGCGTCGCCGTTAAGAAACATTGGGTTAGGCGGCGGCGGGTTGACTACGGTCGGTGCCGATACCGAAGCTCTAGGTGTCCAGCTGGCCTGGGATTGGGTCTGACTGGTCGGTGTAGCTGTCGTAGGCGCAGGAGCTCCAAGCCCAGCTCGGAGCGTGGTCGGCTGGCCGCTGCTGTTGGCAATGTTATTGGCGAACCGGGACGTCAACTCGCTTACACTAGACCCTCCTCCCGACAGCGATTGTTGCTGTTGCTTGACAGGCGGTGTCGCCAATGGAGATGTTGCTGCTTGTCGGAGTGGGGACGGGGACACTGGGGACACGGCTCTGCGCTGGAATGGGGAATTCCTGGTGGTAGTTGGGGCACCAAGGGGGCCCGATCCCATTGGGGAGGCGTACGATCCCAGTGGGGATGGTTTGTACGGCCCTGCTGTTGGCGTCGCCTGTTACGATGACACGCGAGACGGGACGGGGTTAGTCGATTGGACTCTGGAAATCGTACATTGAACTCTTTGATGGGGAATCGCGCACCATGGTCCTGGTTTCCACTTGAGTAAAGTGACGTAGGTCGTAATGGACGGTAGCTGGGACTGGCTTGCTGGGCTGGCGGATGATGGACAGCGAGACGAATGCGCCCTATACTGTACGATTCCCCGGATTGCTTGTTGGTGATCGCTGCTTGCCAAAATACACTAGACGCTGAGCGTGCCAGGTGGATGAACTTTGGCTTTTGTCCAGCTATGCGAGTCTAAGAGAGCCTCTGGTATTACCAAGTGAAGCATTCGCGTCGTCAAGCAGTGTTCGGTTCGGTTCACAACCGGCGATGGTGGAAGAAGAGTGGAGTTGAAAGTAAACAAAAGCGACCAGACAACGGTTCGAGTTCAGGGAGAGCCGCAGCACTTCCATGGATCTCGAAACGCCGGCATGGCTTGTGCGTCCCATGCTAGTGTACAGCGCGGTTCCTGTTCCGTGTAGGACGGACTTGAGTTTACCTAGGTAGGCAGCTGAACCTTGGTGGGGTCCAGGGCATGATTGGAAACTCCCGTCTGATTGGCTCCGGCGTGTATTTAAACCTTCCGTAACTTTATTTGATGCAGGCGGGGCGGTACCTAGACAGAAGGAAGCAACTGAACTGCAACAGGGGCCAGGCCTAAACCCCTCCTCCAGTGACCTCCACCATCAGCAGGGCAAGCGGGTGCAGAGATGGGCGGCCCCCTGTCAGGAGAGGCTGTTCCCGTCGGAATGACTTGGGGTGGCCTCTTGTGTAACAGTTTAGGTTCGAGCAAGTTGTACGTACGGCGTTCGCTGGCTACGGATGAAGGTATCATTTTATCTCACAGACGCGGCATTGGTAAGATTCAGATACCTGGGATGTATGGTGTCCGTCATGCGAAGAAAGGGAATACAGTATCACTATACGAAAGGAAGCGGTCCAGGGGCAGCTCCCGCCCGCACTCCACCAAAAATGTCAATGCTGGGGTCGTTTAAATGCAGGTCCCTGAATCGCCCAAGCAGGAGAGTCCACCACCGTTGGGCTGCACAGCTCTTTGGCCTCCATCATCTCCATCTAGAGGTAATTACATACTACTCTACTGCGTGGTTCCTTCGGAAACTCAGCGTTGAGCTAAGACTATTGGGCTGTTATGCCCCTTCGTCTTGCTACTATCACACGGCCATCTTTCGGCCATCATCATTCGAGCTTCACCACGAGTGTACTTACCGCCAGCTGCCACAACCACAAAGGCGCATATTCCTCCCCGCCGGGAACCCCATGAGAAACCACATTGACCCGACAGCCTATTCGAGCCGTGATCGCCCGACAAAATCGAATACCACACGAGATTGGACAGCGTGGAATACTTGCCGGAGTATCGATAGATTGGCAGGTGTCGGATATCTGGTAGCACAGCATATAGGACCTCGTTTCACATAAGCTACCATCTGTCGCAAAGCGGACGGACAAAGTAAACCATGGCATCTCCTCAGCCGGCGCGGCCTTCGTTTTCACGAAGCAACAGCTCGCAACACGTCAACGGAGCGACTGGAACAGCTCACGATCGAAAGCCGTCTCTCTCCTCCTTTCCGCCCCGATCAGTATCCCAAATGTCGCATCATGGCCCAGCTCATCGCTCGCGCTCCCCGCAGCCGCCTCACGTCGAACCTGATCGAACCTCCACTCTGAGCTCCAAAGGCAAGACTGCCTCCACGGGTACTGGCTTCTCCTCGCAGCATAGCTCGCTCTCTGCCGCCGGTGTCACTCGTCAGTACAACAACGCCATTGGCCGTCCTCGCCGCAAGTTGCGCTCGCAGTACCCCCGTGGGAGCACCGAAAACCATGTCGAGTACATCTTGGTCGCTTCCTTTGATATCGACCGTGGTCCCGTCATGGAGCATCAATATCCAGTCGCTATCACCGGGGATGAGCACATGTTGGCTGAGCTCATGCTTCCAGACCAGGCCCACGCACGAAACCAAGATTGGACCATATTCTTCTTGCACAAGGATTCTAGTCGCGAGGAGGACGAGGCAGACCGTCAGGCAAAGGAGGAGAGGCGTCGACGGAGAAAACGCAGACAGGATCGCGAACAGGGCATCATACATGAGTCAGATGATGAAGATGACGACCTGGACGACGACGATTGGGATGACGATGAATCGACCGACGAGGACGAGCCTGAAGGTGGCGAAGGGCCTCCGTTAGTATACGTTCTCAACCTCGTCAACACAAAACACGACAAAACAGTCAAGAGAGGTGCAGTGGTAAAGGCCATGGCCATCTGCACCCGGCACCCGTTTCTTCATATATACAAGGTAATTCTGCTCCAAACCCAACTGCCGCTCCGACTAACCGCTAACTTGCCTATAGCCCCTTTTATTATTGGCTCTAGATGAATACTTCAAGTCTCCTGTTCCAGAGACCCTCTCCATGCTGTTTGATGCGGTCAACGAGATGGACTTGTCGCTCATGCCCAAGCTAAGCCTCCTGGAGAGGCATCTGCTACAAATGAGCAACAACAAGGACCTTTTCGTTGAAAAGTTTGAACAGATGATTCAAAAGCGGATTTCAGAGGACCGAGATGGCCTTGCGGACCAGCCTTTTGACGCGAGTAGGAGTCCGCCGAGAAGGCCAGGCATTTTTCGACATGGGACGACAGCGCACCTCAAGGGACAGTCAACTTACGCAGTACCTCGTGACACGCACGAGTTCGAGAGCAGAGTTATGTATAAGGGTATCCCTATTCCGATCAAGGTGCCAACGGCGATTATGCCAGAGACTGTTGGGGATTTCTCCCTGATCAAACTCATACAAAACTTCTCGGAACCACATGCGAAATCACCACATCCTTTCCCTCTGCATGCCCACCTGACCACGAACGGCCCCAATACACACCCAATAATAGTGTTGGTCAACGGTCTGCTTACCCAAAAGCGAGTCATCTTCCTAGGCCACAACATGCCTTCCGGCGAGGTTGCCGAAGCGGTCCTCGCCGCCTGCGCGCTCGCATCTGGCGGTATACTCCGAGGGTTCACTCGCCACGCCTTTCCCTATACCGACTTGACCAAGGTCGACGACCTTTTACGGGTTCCTGGTTTCATTGCGGGTGTCACTAACCCGACATTCGAACATCATCCTGAGTGGTGGGATATCTTATGTGACCTGCCCAGTGGGAGAATCAAGATCAGTAGTCGAATCGAGCAGCCGGCAATTACGGAGGGCCTCGTCTACTTTCAGCAACAAAATCCAACCTGCGCTTCACTCGTACACCAGAGCCACTCGAGCAGTGCGGCGGACTTGACAGGCGATCAGGCCTTCATGGCTGACATGTTGAAGAGCATAGCCACGAGAGCTGGAGAGCGTGTGATTCGCGCCAAGTGGCGAGACTGGGTTCTCAAGTTCACACGCATTGCCGCTGCCTTTGAGGAAAGCGTATATGGCGCCAGTGCTCTTTACATTGGCAGTGATGAGCACGACAACTACCCGCACACGACCAACTCTACCGGACACGGCTACGTGTGGGCCGACGACGAAAAAAAGAGCAAGGAGCTGGCAGGGAACGTCACGAGGATAGAAGGCTGGAGGAATACTAGGAGTTACTACAGCTTTATCCAGGTTCGCGGTCACCTTTTCTCGCCCCTTTCATTCCTATTTCAGTTCAGGGTTGAGTTTGCCTATTTCTCCTAAGTTTGCGTCATCACATTCTCCGGAGTCAAAAAGTCACCCATTGCAGGACGAGGGGAAATTGATGGGTAACGGACATCCAAGTCATGCTAACTTTTCTCACAAGGACGTCGCTCAGCTATACACGATCCGTCCGCTCAAAGGCCTGGATCTCCATCACATGCATGATCGACTGCGCACGCAACGGTTGACGGCTATGCAGAGCCGCGATATTTACCTGACGTTCGCCAAGTACGTTCGCAGCTACGACGAAATCTGCTTGCTCCTCAGTGTCGCCCCCGAGGCACACGCCGGCTTGTTCTACATTGCCCTTGGGCTTTTCCATAAGGACAGAGAAGTCAGGGTGAAGACAGCGGATTTGCTGGAGAGGATCTCGCAGCACGAGGCAGGCCAGCATTGGTGGAGAGGGCTCAGTCGGTTTGAGAAGCTGGCATACGATAGGATCACGAAGGAGGTTCAGATGGCTGAGTCTCAAGCTGGGATGCAGGGGTTGGCGATAACGCCAGGGTCGAGTGAGGACCCTATGAGAAGGATTAGCCGAGAGGGATAAAGACCCTAATGTATGCGATACCTATTTGATGTTCAGTCGGGGCAGGAGAACGAGTAATTGTACATGGACGGCAAGCAGGAGCAATTCGTGCTGCCGGGAAGTTTCTCTTGATCATCACTTTCATGTTTGCTGGCATTCCCGTGGCATATATAGCAGGCATCTCAATTCTTGGACGAGGCGGTTCTATAGTAGAGCCCCGTTAAAGCATTCTTTTTATTTTATCTTCTTTTTTGTTTAGAGAAGTCCCAGGTACTTGGCGGCATGGTCAACATGTTCATCGCTGAAAGATGCCATGAAGTAGTACGAATGGTCGTAATCCTGTGTGTGCAATCACTTGTGTGTCAGCCATTCCGATCTGCGCCAGATTATTGGTGGTACAAGAAAATCACTACAGAATATGGAAGGAAGAGAAGATATATAAAAAGAAAAACTCACCTCCTGGTATCTAACCGTCACTCCCTCGACGCCCGCCTCCTTAACGGCCTTTTCAAAGTTCTCGGGCAACAATTGCCCCTGCTTATAGAAATTATCGCCCGTGCCGACGTCAACCAACACCCTCGCATCCTTGTGTCCCCTCCACTTCTCTCCCTTGATCAACTCGGTCGCATCATGCTTCTTCCACTCCTCCTTGTTCTCCTCGCCCAGATAACCCGCAAACGCCTTCTTGCCCCAGGCGCACTCACACGGGTTCGCAATCGGCGCAAAAGCGCTGACGCTCTTATACATGCCCGGGTTCTTGAGGTACAAAGTCAAGGCGCCGTGTCCACCCATGCTGTGGCCCGTGATGCTGACCTTGTCGGCATCCAGGTACTTGCCAAACTCCGAGTCGGCCCCAAACAAGACCGAGGGAAGCTCGCGCGTGATGTACGTGTCCATCTTGTACCCCTTGGCCCACGGCTCTTGCGTGGCATCGACGTAAAACCCGGCGCCCTCGCCAAAGTCCCAAGCGTCCTTTTCGCCGGGGAGGTTGAGACCGCGCGGAGAAGTGTCGGGGTATACGATGGCGAGACCGCGCTGGGAGGCGCCGTGCTGGAAGAAACCCTTTTCGGAACAGTTGTCGGGGGTGCAGGTTAGGCCGGAAAGGTAGAACAGGACCGGGACCTTGGTTTGAGACTTGAGGGCCTGGGGAGGGAGGTACAGGTTCACGGCCATGTCGGTGCCGGTGGAGGTGGAGGGGTGGGAGAGCTTGAAGAGCTTGCCGCCGAAGGAGGCGATGGTTGCTTTGACTGTGAGACCCATTTTGGCTGTGGTTGATGTTACTATCCCTGATGTCGTTGTTGTTGTTGTTGTTGTTGTTGTTGTTGTTGTTGTTGTTGTTGAATGGTAGTAGTGAGGAAAGGTAACCAAGAAGCGAGGATTCGACGACTTAAAGCTTGGTTGGCGGCGAGCTTGACGGTTGAGGAGTGGAAAGAGTAAAGATGACAAATTCCGCCGAGGATAGCTGTGAAATAGTAGTTGTAGGCTTCCAGCTGTTATCATTATAAATCCAGAAACTTATCAGGTCACACCCCGCTTGGATAAAAGGCTATCTTGACACTATAATCGGCTTGTTCTCCTCACCTTTAAATCGGAAGTCAATCGAAGCTGTAAATGGTCAAAGCTGTCAAGGTCCATGTGCCCCGCCTGAAGCTCACTGCCGATTGCTGCTGTCTTAAGTGCGGTTGTAGGCGGGGTAAAACACAGTAAAAAGATGCCAATGCCGTCATCTGTACATGGTATTGGTTGCCAAGAGACAAGGGCCCATGGAAGAGTTATTGAGTACAGTCCACATACATACACTCTTGGTTTGATTGTAGCTCGAGACCTCGGGTAAACTCTCCTAGGTATTGTCATGCTTTAATTGGTAGTGTACAAAGCCATGAGTTTTGTCCTTGAAAGGTATTTGACACTTCAGAAGACATCTCGTCTAGTGAACTAGGAGTGACTAGGTACCGAGCCAACAGACAAACCAGCACAACACAGTAGAATGTAAATGGGGTCAGATTTCCGAATTGCCGATCCTAGCCCGAAGATACCCCTTCAGGATTATCCGTTGTCATATGCAACAGTCTCGTCAGTTTTCGGTTTTTAACGTTTGCGACTTCCTCTGTGGTATTCGATATGCAAAGCAACAACGCACAGCTCTCCATGGAGCGGTGATTGAAAGGCTGGGAGGCCCGAGGATAGCGGAGATAACTGCATGTCTACGAAAGACAGAGAGAGCCTTGTTGAGGGTATCTTCTTTTTCCGCGATTATCACACATCTTCCACCACATCCCTGCTCACCCCGTCAAAGGGATATTCAACAATCGTCGATCATCAGTCTTCTCCCGTTTCCTTTGCGCCAGTTATGGAACCTCATCACCCAAGTCCGGGCCCTACCCATGGGATGGACAACTACGGTACAAACGGGGCAACACCCAAGTGACACTCGAACGAGGAGATATAATGGTCCCATCCCACAGCGCTGAGGTTGAACCTATGCTCATATTAGGAGGACACGCCGCCGAGAGTACAGCCTTCGGGTGAGGTGCAGATTTCTCCGCAAGACATGCTGTTGAGTTGACCGATGGGGTTCAAGCTCGAGATTAGTATATATGCAGGTCGTATATGTGATGCTGTATTACGAGGGGGTGTTCAGCAGTGAAGTGATATGGATGGTATGGGGAGCAAGGAAAGAGACCAAGGTGTGTCGTGTATCATCGACTTTGGGGCAAGAAGTTGCCATTTCCCGATACGATGAAGGGGGTCGGCAGTGAACAGGCTAACGTGATATAAGGCCAAAGCAATATAAAAAAGGATTAGTATAACTGGCCTGAAAATAAAAACATCACTCACATATAAGGATAACAATACCACTCCCCTTCATCCAGCGCAAATGTATTGGTATTCCGAAAGAACTGTTGCGGTAGGTTGTAGCAAGTTTCCATTTCGTAGATGTTATAGACACACGCTTGCGAGGCGTTAGGGCCGTTACAGATGAGGATCTGTTCAACAAGTTAAGTGAATGTTCAAACCCGTACATCAATATCTACGTACGCCGCCGAGAGTTCTCGTTTGCAGAGTATTGCTCGTCTTGTCGGGATGCAAATGTATAGGCATGGCGGAGGTGGGCGTAGACCAGGAGGTTAGAAATATGGCGAGGAGTGCTGAGAGGGTCGAGATGATTGTTGGCAACTTCATTGTGTCGTTAATAGGATCTTGTTGATGGGCCACATCGTGGACCAGGTCAGTGTACAGGATATATAATCGACCGTGGCTTGGGAGGAATGAACACGTAACAAGTAAATGGCATTCATCAGAGGTAATTGTGAAGCTAGATGTATTCAATTTCTAGTGTTCTGTGGCCCAAAACATCAAACTCACACAAGATGTACCAGGCACGAAGATGGAAAGAACTTCAGACAAAACTGACAACCGTCAGCGTCGCTCCTTCATCGCTGAAATTCACGAGAAATTTCAATTCCAGTCCCAAGACCTATCGGAGTATCATTATTTGCGCAGAGGAAGGCACCGCCGGCACATGCACTTTAGTTGACTGCCCTGAACGGGATGATGTCGAAGTTTGGTTTCCCATAAAGTTTTGCAGTGCCTTGTAAACAAAACGAGGGAAACCAAGTAGTGATAGTAGTGGTAGTGAATGACTTGACTGCCGTCCAAACAAGAGTGTCCGCACGTTCCGCAATAATGAGACATCCATAAACATACTAGCATGGTGATCATAGGGTACCTATTATTCTCTCGTCGTTCGTCCATTGTCTTTGTTCCGTCGCAACTCAAAGCTCCACTGATGAGCCAAGCTTGACATAAATGAAAACGTGGAACCGGGTACGTAAGGTAGACAAGGGGCCGAAGCACGGCTGTTTAATCCAGGCATGTCCTGGCGGCAATCCTTTGGGAGACATTGAGAGTCCGATACTGAGATGTATCTGTTGACGCGAACTAGTCCAAAAGAAAAAAAATCAGGACACTTACTATAAGAAAAGAAGAGACAGAAAGGAGCATAGATTGGAATCCTTCGATTAAAACTCCAGGATAAACCCGAAAAGGGATTCTATTTTATATGTACAATTGAATGGTATGGTATCTTCATTATATCCTTTTCGCAGCCAGTTAACCAATCCCTTTGAGTTCTCCATCTCTCAGGAGAGTCCGGATCCGATAGCAACCTGGCCGTGAAGTCATCATGTAAACATTTCTCAACTCCTCCATCCAGATCTCCTTGCGTATCCTTAAAAGCCAACGAAATATCCTCCCACCATTGCCTTTTCCTCCCCACAAAATGTAAAATGCTGGACGTGAAATCGTATCCTCGTGCAGTATGTGAATAGAAGGGTATCGTAAAGGAGCGTCGTTAGTATCATTAACCGTTTTCCATCCCAGCTTCCGAGACTAAACTCTAGTCTAGAGGAAAGCAATGACGCCAAAGAGACCAGCAATCAGTGCCACCACTGGGCTCTTCTGCATGATAACGTTGGCCATACCCTCAACAGGGGGAGCAGCGGCGCTGGTCTCACCGATAGGCGAAGATCCCACGGTTGAGGTAGTGGGAAGGATGACGGTGGTAGGAGGAGGAGCGATGGAGGTGTAGATGGTGTTGTTCGCAGAAACGACGACAGTCGAGTACTTGGTCTCAATGACGCCCGCGCTCTTGGTAATGGGGATGGTGACATCAACAGCCTTGGTGATGGTCTGGGGGATCACGGTGGTGTAGGTGTGAACCTCGGTGACGGCCGTGGTAATGGTATTGGTCTTGGTTATGTAGACGGTTTCACCCTTGGAGACGGTCGTGATAACCGTCTCGGGGCATACGACCGTCTCGTAGACGTTGGTGTGTTCATACTCCGTTGCAACTGAAGTGGTGTAGACAGTTTCGGTATGAGGGACCTTGGTGTAAAGGGTGGAGGTGGATGTCCAGACAACCTCTACAGTAGAGCCGCCGACTACCTTGGTTTCAGTAACGGGGCATAGCTCAGTGATAGTAGTGTAAATGACTATTTTGATGGTAAGCAAGTCATATCGAGCTGAGACGGTCAAAAAGGACACATACTGGCTTCATCCGTCTTGGTTACTGGGGGAGCAACGTCGGTAACGGTGATGACGGTGGGAACCTTTGTCTCTACGGTGCTGGTGGTAGTGTACGTCTTGGTGATAGTCTCACCACCTTTGGTGATCGTGGTCGTTTCGGGGCAGACCTAAGTTTCGTTAGAATCAAAGCCTCATGGGAAAGAGAAAAGAACAAAAGAGCCACATACAGTCGTGTAAGTAACAATCACCTCGGTAGTATAGCTAACGTGATCACCACCATGACCCCAACCTCTAGGGATGTTGGCTCCAAGGGTTGAGGAGACCAAGGCAAATAGGGATAGAGCGGTCTTCATCTTGTCGACTAAAGGTTGTTGATGTGTGAGGTTTGTAACGAGGGTCTGATATGTTCAGATATGGTGAGGACGGGTTGAGCGAACGAGGGGCTTAAGTAACCTTAGCGAAGGAGTCACTTTGAGTGAGGAGGCTGGCTGGGAGATGCTTGACCGAGAAGGCTGGGAAACAGAATGAAAGACAAAAGGCCTGCAGTAGGAACGGGAAAGTGGCTTATTATACATATGAAAGACAGGAGCAGAAGGGCAGGAAGACCACCAGGGCCCTGTAGCCTGGTAGAGGTAGGCAGAGAACCCAACGGAAGAGATGGATATGTTTGCAATGACATGGCTGGCTGCCATATCACCTGAACTGCAGGGTACCCAAAAACAGAGAGGGATGGGCCCTTGGGAGTTGACGGCGTTACAACAACGGGAAGCGAAGGATGGTCCGCAGGAAATCCAGAGAAGGGCCGCGAGGTTGGGCAACCACCAAGCCGTGTAAGCTAGGTACCACTGAGAACTCCGTCAAGGAGTTTGTGTGGGACTGCCGTAGACGGAGACAGTTGCTAGATCCGGCTGATTTTGGTTAACCCAGCACTATGTGTGGTTTGTACCTAGTATGTGCCAATGTATCTTTACTTCCGGATGATGAAGCCTTGTTGTGAGAGGCCTTCACATCCGGAGTGACAGCCTCCCTGGTACGCACAGTCACATAGCGCCGATCCAAGGTCCAGGACTATCGGTCTTGGTGTTGAACTTGCTGGTAGGTGTGCCTGTGGATGTTCATACCCCTGACCATAGCCTTATCCCTCGAGATTCGGTAGGGGAGAGCGTAGGTTGGTCATATCCCTTCTAGTTGCTTTTTTCCAACCGCATACATCGGGCCATGAAGACTGGGGCTAGATATCACACATCACCAAACCGCCCGTTTTCGTGTGGCGTTCCGTAGCATTGTGAGGAGAATGTCGAACACGATATGTGGGCTCACAAAGACACTCCAAAGTCCGCTGTACATAGTAGTCGAAGGGTATCGCCGGGCTTGAACACCGGGAGTGGCATAAGCCATGTTGTAGGTTGGACTATGTAACCGGCGTGCCAAGGACTTTTTCTCGTGTTCCCCCGCGGTTTGAAAGTCGTAGGGTGGGATTGACCCTCCTCCACACACCTCCCTGGGCCCCTGGCTCAAAGCGATCGAAGCCCCTGCCAATGATGTCGTTGCAGCAGTGAGATGACGTTAAAAAGTCATGGCAGCCCTCCGGGATTTTTGTCTATTCATATGGCTTCTCCAGCATTGGACGCTCTGCTACTAGCTGCTATTGGTTTTCGAGACTAAAGCTCGTTGTTGACTGTTAGTATGTTTCTCGTGAAGGACAGACCTGCAGCTGGCTGGTGGTTTAGACAACAAGAGGTTCCCCTGCTTCCCGTATGTACTCCTGCTGATCGCATGGCAGACGCTTGCTTTTTCGACTGCGTCAAGCTGCAAAATCATGCGGGGCGACTGTCAAGAGCACATCGCAGCTCTCACTAGTGGAGATGCGGTGGTGGCTAGTGAGTTGGAGTCCGGATTTGGCGATGCAATCGGGAGTTTCTTTTTTTTTTTTTCCTTTTGTTCTGAAGACCTCCCGGGCGTGTGGCTGGCCCTGGCGAGGAACGACTGCAAAGTCTGACCACCCGCCAGATCCAGGCCGCCCTGTAATGACCGCGCCCTAACTGGTTCGTGGTTGGCTGGGTTGGGTGTTCGGACGGTTGTGGTGCGGGTGATCTTTTTGCAACACGAAGGCTCGTGCAGCACTCAAAGGGATTCGATATTCTGCCCAGGGGAGCTGTGGCTGCAGCCAACGCGATCTGCAGGTCTCACAAGCTGGCTATAGGAAGCAAAACCTGTTGGGTTAGCCGAATATCCAGACAGGAACAAAGAGAAGAATCCCGTTGACCCCTCTTCAGTATCCCGGTACTTGTCTCGGGAGCACCCTTTGGTCCCTATAATAGCCGTAGACCGTGCCGAGCTGTTGCCGGACTATCCAGATTTCTTTGCAGCCTGTACACGGCGTTATTAAGACCTGTCCCAGCCGAGTTTCGAATAGTAACATGGCGTCATCTCAACCGTTGATTGCGGCCAAGTAGGACCGGTTCTGGTACCTATATCGTGGGCAACGACGAATGGAGTCAGGAAGTCTTGGGTACATGATATGTTGCTGATATGCGAGGTGACCAGAGGAGCTGTGATTACTGGTGGGTTGAACACTGCAGTGCAGGGCAGTGGATGTTGCAATTGGGCTTTGAGGCAACCCGACTCTCGAATAGCAACCGCGAGATGCTCTTTTGGCCCGTGTCTTTTACCGGTTCCGTCTCAACTCTGGTGACCATTCCTGTTAACAAACACTGCTCACTTGAATACACTGTAGCCACTGCTCAATTGCTGCTCATTTGACCGTGTCTAGCCATTAACACTCATGATGAGCTATGTAGTGTTGACCGAGCCATGATGAACGATACAAAGCAGGAGCATATGGTACCATCATCGAGTGAACTTCATCTGGTTTCCTGGGCATAAGTAGGCGCGGATGGGATGACAAGTCATCCGGTTGGTTTGTATCCCGGACTCCAGGTGAAAGGCTGACTGGCTGGCTGTTGATGAAAGGCTGCAAATGGAATTTGATGATCAGGTGAAAAAAGAGTTGGAAGATGGACGGGAAGCAGGGCATCAGCCATTTTACTTGGCAATTTGGCAGACACTGCGGCTCGCCCCACTTTTATGCGCCGTTTCAAGCGGGGCCGTTGCCCAGAGGTCGGGCTAAACTCGAAGATCAGGCACTATCCAATAAGAGTCGCCGAGCGGTGTCCCTTCAGTAACCCATCAGATGGATGGCGCTCTTGAACTTGTGTTTGTCTGACCAGCTTCAACCCTTCATCGAGATATTTCTGGCCAGCATGGTAGACCGCGTGCGAGAGGCAGTGGTGAACATAGTTGACATTGATGTGATTTTTGGATTTCCGCCTGTTGTAATTGCTAAAGAGATCGCTTGGATGAATCAAAATCACACTGCCCGCAACAAGGGGAATTTCACTAACAATCAAACCAAAAGCACTGACCTGTAACAGCGGCCCGGTACCTGTCCCCGCCATCTGCCGTCAACCAACCCTATCGCGCTTTGCTTTTTCCAGCTCGCAAGCAGAAGTATTGCAGCCCGTGATTTGCTGTTGGTCCGCCACAACGGAACGAAATCGACATAAAGGAGGACGCCCACTGATATTCGCTCCGTTGAATCGTAGTGTAGTGTACCTTGCCCGGTATCGAACGGCTTTGTGAATTTCCCCTCGCCTGATGTTGGAAGCGAATGCAACCTTGATCGATTGGCAGGTGATGCAGGCTGCTCAGGCATTATTATATGAAGTCACTATCAAGCTGGCGGATGAGCTCCCGTATACAACGACATCCCTCTCCAGTCCTGTTTTCGTGGCTTCATGTCCTGTTCAGGAAGTCTCAGCCATGTTGCATCGAGATCTCGCAGAGACGCTCAGAATGAAGTCCTCCAAGTCTGTTATTGGTACAGTGGGGCGCCAAAAAAAAACGACCAACTCTTTTTTTACCCGCAAAAAGGGCCAAAACTCAACTTCTTCAACTCTTGATTCCTTGACGAGGTTTGTTGTAAAACTCACTCCACGTTCTAAATAGAGATAACTTTAATAGGAGATGCTAATGCAAGTTGTCCGAAATAATGCATTTGAAGGGGGGGCAAAAGCGTAAGTACCGAAGTAACTTTTCGAAAAGCATCTCAAATTCCATCCACTATAATGCACTGTAAGTCCACTATAACTAAATATCTTTTTCAAACTCTCATTTGAACAGTTGTTATCACACCACTAAAAGAAAGAAGTCAATTTTGTATATATATCTAGTAATTATAACTATTGAACTCTTTCCTCCTTCAGTGTACCTACTTTTGAAAGGTAATTGAAATGAAAATTAAGGAGTGATAGAGTTGAGTTTTGGCCCTTTTTGCGGGTGAAAAAAGAGTTGGTCGTTTTTTTTTGGCGCGGGATTGTAGTTGTCCAACTGTCTCCAGTGATCACCTTTTCTGTAGATCATGACTCGTTTGTGCTGAAAGCTGACTGCTACCGAAGAACCTACTGGTAAACGGCGGATGCCAGCGCTGGTGTTTCCAACCTCTGAACTCGACCCCAGAAGATTTCCCAGTATCGTAAACCACGAACATCCATCCGAGGAGGTACTTCATCAGTTTGCCCTGCATCAACCTCACGGCAAGTATGGGTTTGAGCATGTGGGCGCCCGTCGCCTTGTTCTCTCATCGAGGTTGCCTCGTTGTCGGAAGGACGCATTGGACGACCAAGCTGTGTTACGCTTGAGGTTTCTTCTTTTCAACTTGTTCCAACAGAATAAGCTCCTTTTGTCTCACACAGTCAGCCACGCTTCTCGAACCCGAAAGCCCGGACCCGAAGGTTTCACGATGCTCTGGATCCGCTATGCGTAAGATGCTGGGATCCGAACTGGTGTGTTAAGCAATGTCGGACTCGACATATGCGGTTTGCAAACTGGGCATTCTACAGAAGTAGAAGTGAAATGCTCTCGTCCACCACGCGCAAGCTATGCTCTCACGAAGATAGCCAGAGGAACATATATCTCCACCTATAACCCGGCCACAAGGCCTTGAATATCATAACAGCCTGCCACTTGAGGTTTTCCTCACCTGAGGTCTGAGTTTCAGAATACAAGGACATAAGGTCAGGAAAGAGTCGACACAAAGCTCTGCAAATATCCAAGATATGGTCTTTGTGGCTTGGTATCATTGTAATAGGCAGCACAGGCTGGGGTTACCATGCGACGGTATAATATGGCACCACTCCAGGTCTCCGCTTGTTAATACATCCTGTACTACGAGGCGGGTTATATCTAGACTACCCCCTTCCCCTATATCTAGACTACTTAACCGCTTGCGGTAAGAGTACGAAGCAGGGGAGCTGGCACGTTAAATATTTTGTGCGTGCTGGGCGTACAGGGGTCCCTGTTATTGAAATCCCTATAAAAAAGTAGGGTTTCTCATGCAGACTGGCCTTGTGTGCCTATACGTACTAAATCTATTAACGTATACCATTGAGGTATATCCAATTGTGCCTTATATTACCAAATGCGTATAGTATAGAGAAGTATATAGAGAGGAGAGGAGTATTTATTTTTTATAGTCTTTTTCTAGAGCTTTCTAATTTATATAATTTTATAACTTATCTTATATATATATGTATAATTACACACTCTACTACTTTAGCTTTAGTACTAGTGGCTGCCTAAATGGGGGTAATAAGGGTATATAAATAATTTTGTAAAGGATACTAGCTAGTAAATTAGGACTAAAAATACGGGGAGCCTCTATTACTAGTACTACCGGGCCGTTATAACTTCTAATAATATATCCCTCCTCTTAGCGAGAGGATAAACGGTCGTTAGGTTTTATACCTTTTTAACTCTTAATAAGGTTCGCCTTCTAGCTAATTATAAGAGGGGGTTAGTATTAAATTACGTAGTTTATTTAATCTACTTAATTATTAGTACTAGGGGTAGAATTAGGTTAGGTAGCTTATAAGAGAGTGGGTTTAGTAAATTGAGGAGGTAAGTCCGTTGCTTTCTATTTGGCCTTCTTTATTCGCTTAAGGATTTTAGGGTCCTTAATATACTGTTTAGGGTTAATTACCGCCTAATTTTATTAGTAAATAGCTTTTAATATTATAGGGTAAAGAGGGATGGGAAATTACTAGATCCCTAGGCAAATACTAATATTAGTCAATATCCTCTAAAATAAGTAGCTCTCGGACTACGACCTTTTTTATTCTATTATTATTACGTTTATATTCTATACGAATTATTAGTACGTAGTAGTAGGGTAATTTGAACTATTGAAAGTAATTATACGTATAGAAGGTTATTAGAACTTTACCTATAAAATATATTCTCGCCTAATTATACTAATTTTAAATAAGAGTAAGCGCCTTCTACGAAACCTTTTCTATAATAATTATTAATAGAGGGTTATATTTATAATTATCCTTCAAAATAAAGCTCTTATGTGCTACCTTATTGTTATAATCCTTTTACTTCTTTTTAATAAGGATATATATCTTATTAAATATATTATAGAATAAAATATATAGATTATTAAATATATGTCTAAACTCCACGTACAATAATTTAAATCGATTAATAATTATAATACTATAATTGTAATACTATTTCGTATAAGACCGCGCCCATTACTGGCGGATAGGCTAAAGCGTATTATTAAGATAATTCTAAATCTCTATTATATAGGGATTAGTTAGTAATTAAAATAGAAATAAAAAGTTAGACCTTGGTATATACTTACTAAATTAGTAAATAGAAAAGGTATTATTTAAATAATCCTACAAGTACTAGTAGTAATTAATCCGGTCAATATAGCAAATCGTTTTAAAAAGATAGAATAACCCGCCCAAGCTATAATCCTAATCTACTAGATTAATTACGTACGTTACCCCTTCTAGGTAGCGAGCTTTAGAGTGTCTTATTGCCTTATTAAGAGTCAGTCTCCCTAATAGTATTTAGAGTTTAGTACTAGCGCCAATACTAGCGCTAGTGCTAGTACTAGTGCTAGTAGTAGTGCTAGTGCTAGTAGTAGTGCTAGTGCTAGTACTGGTGCTAGCGGGGTCGGCGCTAGTGATAGTAACTGTAACGGTCGGTTGTAACAGCGGCGGTTCAACTAGCTTAGTAATATTAGGGGTATTAAATTTAATAGTCTTAGGGTTGAGAGAGTTATAGTTACTTAAAGGACTATCTTAATTATCGTTAATATATTTAATAACGTTCTTAAGTATATACTAAAAATAGAGTTGGGGTTGACTATTGGGAAAGTAACGCGCGAGAGCTTACTTCTCCGCTATAGAGTTATTAGTAATATAAATAGTAGGGTGAAGTATAGTAATACAATAGACGAGATTACTGAGATGCTTAAATAATTAATTTATAAATTTGTTATTCTCTTTATAACTGAAATTAAACGTAACGGAGAAGGTAGTATTAATAGAACTTATACCTATAATTATAAGTATCTTTAATTTGAAGTATAAAATCTAATTATTAATTGGGTTAATTAATTAAATTAGAGAGGAGGGGAGAGGGGAGACTTACATTGTAAGTATAATCGATACTTAAGACTATCGGATTTCTATTCTATATCTATAAATATTAAAGAAATAAAAAGATTAAGAATTTAAGGCGGCCGATGTAGTTGAGGGTATAAGTATACTATAAATTAAGGGTTTCGAGCTCTCTTAATAGTTTTTAAGTATTAATTAAATTAATAATATACTTTTAATTTAATTGTATAATATTATTCTTAATATTAATATTCTTAATTTTGTTGTATAGACTAGGGTAAGTACTTTAGAAGATAAGTCGGATCTATAAATTGGTAAACCCTCGTCGATAGAATTATTATACGAATTCCTCCGCTTCTAAGGTTAATAATACCATTGAGAGGGTATTTGAACGTTGTAACAATAATATATATCTAATTAAATATATATAAAGTAATACTCTAAGAAGAATCTAGAGTAGGAAGCTTGCGTGCGGTCGATTGACCTTAAGGCACGCAAGCCTTATTTAATCTATAAACCCACCTTCGTAGGTAAGCTCCCGCGGCAGCGGTTCATTCAATTAAACCCAACCTAGCGGCTGGACTATCCAATTAAGTAATCTAATATGTAATAATACTAGCAATACCGTTCCGGTATTAAATCCCGGCCGCTAAAACGAAATACTACTATTCTTAATAGTTCAGAACTAATATACATATATAAATACTCTCACTTCTTCCTTAGCTTCAAATTTCTCCTATACGCCGGAGCTTTACGTTCTACCGGCTTTTTTAATTTATTTTACTCAAAGTAGACCCTCCTTCCTTTTCTTAATAACATTTTAGCCTTAACTTTCCTTAATCCTCCTAATCGCTCCCAATATTCTATAACCAACTCCTAGGCGTTGCCTATCTCCTTCTTAGGCAAATATTTATTACAATAATAACTATATCCGATCTATTTCACTAAATACTTCTATCCTCCATTCTTTTTATCCTTCGTATAATTTAGGGTAATATCTATTTTGTACTCTTCGTCGTCGGAACCGGTTTACTTATCGTTAATTAGATTAGGGGGAGGTTAGATCCGACTGAAAGGATTTTGTTCGTAAAGGGCCCGCTTAAAGTAAATTATAGAAATAACGGGGTAAATACCGGCTATTTTAGGAGGCAAGTCCAATTAGTATGCCAAATTTCCTATTTGCTTAATAATTTTAAACGGACTAATTCGTTATTGAAAGAACTTCTAGAATAGCCGTCCTAGTAGGTAGTAGTCTTTATACAATTTAAGGAATATATTATCGCTTACAATAAAGGACTATTACTTATAGTTAATATTATATCTCTTTTTTGCCTTAGTAAATACGAATACTATAGCTAATTATATTTCTTCTCTAAATCCTTCTCTTAGTACGGGAAATTCCTTAGCTAATTCCGGGGCATTCTTTTTAGTAATTACGTCCATTATTCTGAGTAGTTTGAAGCCGAAGAGTTATTTGTATAGAAATAATTTAATTAGGTTGGAATAGGCGTTATTTATATTCTATTAGAAGTTAAGTAGGGCCTCAACCCAATTAGAATTGGAGAATATAAAGTAGTAGAACCGTATAGCGATTTCTACATTTCAATTCCTACGCTCGGCTATACTATTACTTTAGGGGTAGTATATAATAGTTATTAAAAGTTTAGTACTTATTACTTTCTATATTCTTTTCTATATTTGAAATATAAATCTATAGTCTCGGTCCAATATAATACCCTATAGAAGTCCCTAGTCGCTCAATATCAATTTTCGTATTAATATTATACTCTAATTTTTTACTATATACGTCGAAGATCCTAGGATAAATCTACGTCTCTTAGAAGAGTAGTAGGAGACTAGTATTAAAGTATTAAAAAAACTATAGCCGGGTAGGTACTATAGGGTGTTGGATGTTAGGACTTTCAGAAGGTTAGTAATAAAGTTTATAATAATTATTCTTATAAATAGTATATATTCAGGGTTAATTAGTTAATAGCTACTAATAGTAGCTTTTCTATTTATACGATTAAATTAGTAAGCTGGGCAATATTAGATATATTCTTTAATTTAATATATCTTTCTAACTATCATATAATCTTTAAAATCGTAGAGTATATAGTCCCTACTAAAGTAGTACTTTTTATTATACACGGTACTTAATATTATTACAACTATACCTTTCGGAATATACAACCTTTTAATTTTATTAACTAGGTTAATATTATACAATAATCCGTCTATAATCTCGAAGGGGTAGCTGGTATATAAAATAATACTATTAACCTCGGTAGTATTAGCGTAGGCTTTGAGCTTAGTTATAATAGTACTAAATTTTATATTTTGTTTATATACTTCCTTAAATTGCACTTTAATCGCTATTTCTATTTATACCTCCGCTCTTACAAAATATACTACTTTATTAACCAACTAGATTTAATCTAGTATTAATACTTCCTCCGATCGACCAAATTTATCGCCTTTAGCTAGGAGACGGCTCAATGCGTTAAGTATTAAATTCAATTTACCCGCAATATAATAAACCTTTAAATTGCATTATAATAAATAAATTAATATATTAATTAAATAATAACTACCCCTATTAGTCGACGATGTATTTAGGATAATATATTCGTAAATACCCTTAGTAATTACGTAGTCTATTAATATAATTACAGGATAGTTGCAAAAATGGATTAACGTCCGTAGTCGCTTAATTACCTAAACGAGGTACGCGACCTCTATTTTTAATAGTCCGTATTGTATTTTAGTTTTATTAAGGGCTTTATTTAAAACTTTAATTAACAAAATTTAATTCGCGAAAATTAGGCTGCCGGGCGACTATTTATATCCTTTCTTTACATAATATAGTATTATGCTATATCCTTTCTCTAGGGAGCTGTCGATTTA